CTGCTCAATGATTTGGGGTAACTGTGGCGAATCTTTAAGAGGCAATCTTCAGAAACTCCAAAACTGAGCTGCAAAAGTTATTACAGGTGACTCATATGAAATACGCTCCATAGATATTTTAAAAAAACTAGATTGGAAAACGTTAGGTGAAAGAATGACGGAGCAACGACTAAAATATGTATCAAAAGCACTTACATGCCAATTTCACAAAAACATTTCGGACATGTTTAAACTATATAATTCAGATCGATATGAATTAAAAAATAACAAAAATAAGTTGATGTCGTTGAAGCTAAAAACAAATTCAATGAATTCAATGAAACGAACTTTCGGTTATGCTGCCGCTAAAGTTTGGAATGAAAGAAATAAAATTTTTATATAATTTTATCTGGGTGGGGTTGGAGTGAATAATACACTTTGAATGTCTTTCTAATATTATGGATGGTTCGGGGAGGGTGGGTGCATGGGAATCTCTTATACTGTCTGTAAGTACACAGCCTAGTGAAAAGTAACGGCAACCTTGCTAATATTTTTTTAGTTGATTAGCTACCGTGTTACAAGATGTTTTTAATAAAAAATAAATAAAAAATTATAATCGGAATCGGACCGATTTTTGCTTATCGGTAGACAATCGGAATCGGTAGAATAATTTGTATTTTCCGATTGTGTAAAACCGATTGTTGAGAAAATACGCACTTTAAAAATCATATATATTGCGCGGTGATACACGTTGAATGCACTTTTTTATGTGAAAACAACAACTGTTTAATCTCTTGCGCGAACGGTAGCGTGTTGCATACTGTAGTAGGTGTGGAGCAAACCGTTGAGATACGTGAAGCGTGTCATTTATGTACAGGTTTAACGAACTTTGGTTGCTACTAGTAACATGTTACGTTGGAAATTATCATTAAAATCTCGAAATGGATCATGACGTCATAGAAAATCAGAATCGGGTATATTATTGGATGAATAATTGATAATAATTGGTCAATCACTAATACTTGTTGGGTTTCGGATGAGAACATTATTTCTAACATTGGTGTTCCGAACAATAGTCATTGGGAGGCAGTACAAACTGCGGCTTAAAGACCAAGAAGTCTTACGCACATTCATGGATAAACAGTAGTGATCTCTATATATACTGCATCGATTTTGATCAAAGGCAATTTGATACAAGAAATAACAGTTACTCTTGGAGAACATAATGTACTATTAAAAAGGAATGATAGAATCAAACATTAAGCTATTTGGCAGTCTCATTTCTCAATGAATGTATTTTATTCTTAACAAACACCCAAAACGTACTATTAAAGTTATTTAGAAAATACGACAACTTTAAAGGGCTCTACTTTTTAAAGCAGGCAACTAACCATCACCAAATTTTGCTTAAAAGTAGAATAGCATGTGGATATGATGTGGAATAAACATTACTGTTGTGTCTGTATGGCTTCCATAAAAATTTTTCCAATAAAGATGATGTATATTTCGTGCCTTCAGAAACACATAATTAGACTTTTTGCTGTGCCATAACACATTACTGGTTGCAGATACAAAGATGAAAGTGCAATATTTAAAATCTCCACATACAAATACATCTTTGTGCAAATTTTGATGGATATACCATGTACGGGTATGAAGTTACAGGTCAAAATGTAAAATAGGGTAATGGTGAATTTAGCACTGGCCACGCCCACTTTTTTGCTTTTCGGGCCATATTTCGAATTGCGATATCTCAAAAACTATTGCAGCTACGATGCTCAAATTTTGAACTTAAACTATTCCCACACAATGTTAACTGCCTGCGAAATATAAAGAAATTTGGAGAGGGTGGGTGTCATGCCTGTGTTGAAATGGCATGGAATTACTCCTAGGTTTTTTAGTATCTGTATTTACCCTTAGGATCAGACCCTTGATGCATGTCAGTTTTATCTTATATTTTAAGATTCTTAGTGAAATATTATTTCCAGTAAAATATTTTTTCCTGTGAAATATAGCATGACAACTTGTTAGTGTCACACAATTACAGTGTCCAAATGTCCATTTACTTGACTATTTACAGAAAATGTTCAATGTTCTCTTGCGGTCCCAGAAAGTAAAATATTTTTTCCACCCCTGATTAGCACCAACATTAGGTGTCGTTAATAGAAAATAATAAATGAAAATTGCATTTTGGTTTATGTTGTACCGGTAACTAATAAATGATATGAAAAATCAAAATTGCATTTTTTAGCTCTCAAAATAGCTTTAGTTATATTTTAAGATTCTCAGTGCACTGTAATATTTATTTTTTTCTGTAAATATACATGTAGCATGACATCCAGTTTGACAACTTATTAGGTGTCACACGGTTACATTGGCCAAGTGTCGATTTACTTGATCATTTGCAGAAAATTTTTCAATGAACTTTTTGCGGTCCCAGAAAGTAAAATATTTTTTCCACCCCTGTTTATTACTAACACAAAAGATCGTCCATGTATAAGCCCCCCCTATATATAAGCCCCC